AACTAGACTAAAGAACAAAGGACAGCAACTTGTCTGTTCCCCTTCCCCCAATTCCCCAACGCTGTTCCCTCCCTCAATCCCCCAAAAAACTTTAAAAAATATTAAAAAATAAAATAAAGGGACAAAGGACAAAGAATGACAAAGGGGGCAATGTAAAGACACAGATGTGCCAGGCAAAAAACTATTTCAGCACCAACATTTGTTTTGTACAATACTCTTCTTAACCTTTCCATACCACTCCCTTTGTTTTTTCCAGAAAAAGTTTGCGGCCATGGTTTTCCATTATTGCTATTATTTTAGAGAGAAAGAAATCTCAGAGAAGTTGTACAGATGCTTTACAAACAGGTGTAAATTTCAAGTCACACATATTCTGAAAAAAATGTTAAGAGGATTTATCAGTGACCAGTCTGATGCCACAATGAAGTTGAACTGCAAAAATTTTAAATGGAATTTTAAGAAAATGACTTACCAACCTTCCAACTCTATAATCTGCACGTTTACTTTCTATCATATATGAAAAGAAGATAATAGTAATAGGAAAATACATTTGAAGAGAGATCCTGTGATTTTTCACTTAGGGACAGAAAATTCTGTAAAAGCCACACTATCTACATGATTTAAATAAAACCAGCACACACTAAAATTTCCTATCACAGGCTTACTCAAGAGTTTAGAGGGCTTCAATCACTTGGAACTAGGAGGTGCCTTAATATGTTAAATTTAGAACCAAAGTACTCACTTCCCTTTTTTCTTCAGATTATTTTGCTTATTCCCCAGTACCCTGAATTAAATATGTGTGGTCTATTCTGTCATTCAAAACTATTACTCTGATCTCAGACAAATCTGTCTTTTACTTCCCTGATTACAAAATTCCCTCTTTCATATATACTTATCCAATCTGCTTGTCTTCTTCTCATATAATGATTCAAATATTCTTCCAGGCAGATTTAAACAAACCAAAAAACGTATCTCTACTTGAGGAGTTTTTTAATCTTTTTGTGCCATAGATCTTTCTGGTAGTCTGGTGAAGCCTATAGACCCCTTCTCAGATTGCTTTTAAATGCATAATTAAATACATGAGATTAAAAAGGAAACCAACTATACTGAACTATTAGCAAAACAATTTTAAAAACACTGCTACAGTATTATACGTGCAGCTTTAACATCGCATTAAATAACAAGTTCTAACAGTGGGTCTAACGATACCATAAATTTGTAAAATTATAAGCATAAATGATAGTTTGAGATATATGCAACAACTTGTAAACACGATACAACTATATCTGTAATTCTTATTGGTGACAAAGTCACAGGCATTGCTAACTCTACTGTGGTTTGTTGCCTGTATTCATAATTGAAGGAAATAATAAATTACAGTTATCAGATAATAAAAATAAAGATGTGATTTTATCCCCATTCTAGTTCAAGGGCCCCCCCTCCTCACCCCCTGTCCCCAGTGCTATCCACCAACTGGCGAATCCCAGGTTAAAAACCCTTTTTAGTTGAAAGCCTTGCTCAAACAGATTTTTCTCACAAATTTTAAAATAAAAACACTGAATCCTCCTTTGACCTAGTTCTTGTCTGAATGCTTCCCTGTTTTTACGCAGACTTATACACAGAACGCTGTTTATTTCTACGATTTGCCTAGCCAGCACCCATTTAAATTTTGCCCGTCAATAAAAGGTGAGATTGAAGGAGATAAAAGCAACCAACAGTACCTCACCTCCAGACCTCCAACAGCAAGTGGAAAGACACCAAGTACAGTGTGTGTGTGTGTGTGTGTGTGTGTGTGTGTGTGGTAGGTGGGGTGCCCCCGAGACCCGTGAGTCTAGCTTGTCAGGAGTCCCCAAAGCACTCCATCTTCACCAGCAGCACTCAGGACCCCCTCCTTGCCTCCTGTGCTCCGTTTTCCTACCTGCCTCGCCTCTGGCTCACACCCGAAGCCGCCGGCGGCCCATCCCATCCCCCACGCGTCCCTCCCTCTCGTCCGCTTCAGGCCGCCCAGGCCCCTGCGCGCCACCACACCTCTCCCCTCCGCCAAACTGTGACTCCGCCCACCCCCACTTTCCCCGACACTGGAGAGCCAGGGGTCAGCTGGAGCCGCCGGCCCGGCCGTCAGGCGCAGGCTGCGGCCCTAGGCCGGAGCAGCCCGGTCGGCAGACGTGGAGCCCTGCAATCGGCGCGGGTTAACGGGGGGCGCGCGCTCACCAAGAGGATCATGCGGTGGAGGGAACCGAGGTCTCCGCCCGACCGCCACTCGGCCTCGGAGCCGTCGCCGTCGCCGTCGCCCTCGCCGCGAACTGCCACCGCCGTTGCTGCCGTCGCCGCCACTCGTTAGTTTGGCTTCCCTGCGTCCTGCGGTGGCGCTGCCGCCACGCCATCGCGCATGCGCAACGCCGCGGGGCCCCTGGGACTGGTAGTTCAGGTCGGCGGCCCAGCGGGGCCCCTTCCGCCTTAGCGGGCCAAGTCGGCTACCAGCTTAAGCGGATTTAGTCGCCCGCGGTACCGCCAAGCGCCTTCCGGGAAGTTGCTCTTCACCAAACACTGGCCCCTTTTTCACTTGCCAAGGACACATCATTCGAAATACACACACACACACACACACACACACACACACACACACACACATCTCTCCCTTTTTGTCCAATTGCCTTTAGAGGTATCTGGACTTTCCCTTTTAAACCTGATTTCCCGCCCTCATTTTATCAAATTATATTTATTGTAAACATGACCAAACAGTTTTTAAGTTTATTGACAACTTATCTAAATTTTTTATTTTTTTTTTACAAAAACAATTCAGATATTCAAATTCTAGTTAACTGAGCTGAACAGTCATAGAAACCTTAAGAATTGGAAGACACTTTAAAGGTCATTAGTCCAACTCCTGCCCGGGCAGGAATTCCCTCTTGTACATTTCAGCCAGATGGTCATCCAACTTGTATTTCCAACAGTTCAAATTTCAGGGAGTTCACTACCTTAAGTAAGGCTGCCTACTCCATTGTTGGACAGCTCTAAATGTTAGAACATTCTGCCACCTGCTGAACTGAAATCTGCTGCCCTTTTACTTTCTTCCACTGCTAGTAGTTATGCTGCCTGGAGCAATATATGGAAATGTTTTCCACGTGACAGCCTTTCAAAAAATTGAAAACAATGATTTTATCATCCAACACTCTAGGCAAAAAAGAAAAAAATAATCACTTTTCCAACTGTTTCAAATGTGAATCAGCTGTGACTTCTTTCCAGTTAGTCATCCTCCTTGATGTATTATCTTTAAAAACTGTCAAAATTTGTTTCACATTTATTGCCTCATTTTATTACCACAACAGCATTCTATGATAAGCTGGTCATAGTATATGTATATATATTTTTTTGTTACTATATTGCCATTAAACTGATTCAAAGGTTATCAGCTGTTGTAAAGCACTGCCCAAAGCACCAGATGAATGAATGAAAAAGGTAACAGGATATGGTTTACACTCTAGGGTAAAAGGATAGCTTGCACAGATTAAGGATGATAATAAACTAAGGTACAAAATGCTACAAGATTCCCAGAGAGAAAGGCTTCAACAAGTTGAGAGGCCATGACCTTAAGAAGGTGGTAACATTTGGGAGTTGCTAGATGGCTGGATTTCAAGAAGGGAAATGGCAGGTGAGGATTGCTAGCTTAAGCAAAATGAACACGTAAAGGAACACGGTCAGTTTGCTCTCACTTAACACTGATGTGCTGGCACACACAGGCCAGGGAGGAGAGGAAAGTACCCCAAAAGTTGCAAAAAGTTCTCCAGGGTCCTGAAGAAACCTAACTGTACATGGTTAAGGAAAAAAGAGCACTGGGATCATCAATTGAGTGTTCAGAGCTCTACTCTGTCACCTACAAATGAAGAGCTTTGACTAGATCAGCAGTTTTCAATCTTTTTTTCCACTCAGCACACCCAAGGAATACAACCCCACACAGAACAATGGATCACTACAACAGGAATTCTTGAGGAATATGAGTATTTATTATTCTTAACACCTTTTGCACATGGGAAAGTTAATTCAAAAAGTAAAAAGATGCTCAAAATCAATAAACAGTACTCCATGGGGGCACAGAGCCCTATTTTATTTACCGCTGTCTCCCTGGAAACTGGCATACTGTCTAAGACAAAATGTTAGGTAGAAGTTAGAAAATGTAGAAGGAGAGGGAGTGGGAGGGGTCCACAGTGCTTACAGAAAAAGCTCATAAATAACTTTGATTAACTGCCTCCAGCCACCGTATCTGTTTTTACTGTACAACCGATGAAAAGAGGTGGTCTGGAGCACGAGAAGGATCTGAGTTAACAGACCTCCACCCATCTTAGGAGGTCACACCCTCCCATGGAAGAGCATGTACCACCTTTTTTCACCAAATAAATTTGTAACTACCCCACCAGGCAAACTATTTAAGTCCTCAGGACCTGGGGACTGGGGCCTATGATCCTCCCTCCTACCTCAGCTAGGCCCGTTCTCTTCCCTGAGAACAGATCACTAATAAACCCTGCTTGCATGCTAATCAGCTTGCTGACCTTTGATTCTTCACTGTGTAGGCAAGAACCAAGCCACCTGCAACAGTAATACCTATTTTTTTTTTAATGAATGGGATGAATAAAATGAACCCTGGCCAAATAAAGCCCTTTTTCTTTCAGAATACCACTCAGCCTTTCCTGACATGCATTTATATAGTCACAAAACTCATACTGGATCTTGATTCGAGCTCAGTTCGGACTCTTAGCTCCACACTCTCCTTTAGCTCACTCTGCCACAGAATCAGAGTAGTGACAAACTCAGAAATTTTGTTGTTGTTTTTTTTTAAAGATTTTTTGGGGGAATGGGGGGAGGGAAACAGACAAGTTGCTGTCCTTTTGTTCTTCAGTCTAGTTGTAGAGGACGTCGCTTCACTGGCCCATGTTGTTATTACCATTGCGCTCTTCCCTGGTGAGGCAGATTGGTCACCTGCCACTGGACAGCCGCACAGGGTGGCTCACAGCAGCTCATGCTGCTGGCCGCTCACGCTCGCTGCTGGCCACTCATGGTAGCTTACAGCAGCCCACTGCAGCCTACGTTGTTGCCATTGCCAGCGACTCAAGGCAGCCCAGCTCCAGGTTGAGCTGTTGTTCACCATCTTAGCTGTAGAGGGCGCAGCGTCACTGGACCATGTGGGATCCAAACCCACGGCCCCGCTGCTCAGAGCTGGTGTTCCAAGCCAACTCCTAACCAACGGGCCACTCGGCCGGTCCCTCAGAAGTTTTTTTTGTTTTGTTTTTTAATGTTCTTTTTCCTTCTATTGGTGCACAGCCAGTCTTAGAGATAAGCCAAAAAAGCAGATGCTATGGCAAGTGACTTCAGGGGTCTTTGGCAAGTATTTCTTGACAAAAATATTTTATCTCCAAGTCTGTGAAAGGTCAGAAAATGCCACAATTAGTGATGGATACACTGAATCACAGATGTTAGAGCTGAGTGTCAGAGATACTCTAGTCCAACACCCTCAATCATTTGAATTTAGAGGCTGTTCCTCAAGAGATACTAATTAAAAAGTACATGCCCCTGACTTAGGAAAAAAATATGACAGTTAAGTGAGAGAAAACCATACCAGAAAGGAAAACAGGGCCATACCCAGAAAGAAGATTAGGAAAATGGACAGCAAGATGAAAGGGAAGAAACAAGGACCTCATCTATGATATAGATTTATTTGGCACATAGCTTAGGAAATAAATTACTTTGAAGTAGTAGTACACACTGGCTGTGGGCTGCAGCCAGTGGAAAGATTAATCTGTGTCTCATCTGAAAGAGCGGATTAAACTATAAACTTGGTGATAAGTAACTACTGCAATAATGTGAGTAGAAAAAAATTCAGCAGAGAATTCATAATTTTACTATGAATGAATTCTGAGACTATTTTCAACTGTAAAACTGAGATGTCACCAGCCCTATCTATCCCTTCTAGTTGTTACGAGGATAAAAATCAGAGGATAGAGGGCAAAGCTTTGTTTAGCATAAAGCAAAACACCAATGTAAGATGTTCTTCTATGATGAGTTCAAACTCAAACGGCAAGCAAACATTTAAAACACTCAATGCTAAAGGCTAGCTTAGACATTTTTCATTCACTGCATTTCTTCTCTAAAATTTATGTTCAGACAGGTAGTACAGGAATTCATTCTTGTTCTTAAAAAAAAATGTATACAATACAAATAACTCAAAGTTCCTCTTGATTCCCATCCAGTTCCACCCAGAGGGAGCCACTTTTGTCAACTTGATAAGTATCTGTCCAGACTTAGAGTGTGTGTGTGTGCATAACACTAATAGGATCATATTGTATATACAGTTTTGTGTTCTGTAACTTGTTTTCATTTAATAATAAATCCTGGGGCATCTTTCCATATCAATACATAAAAATCTACCTCACTGCGCGGGCCAAGTGGCGCGTTGGTTAGGAGTTGGCTTGGGACACCAGCTCTGAGCAGCACCGCACCAGTTTGGAACCCACATTAGGGCAAGTGATGCTGTGCCCTCTACAGCTAAGATGGTGAACAACAGCTCGACCTGGAGCTGGGTTGCCATGAGTCGCTGGTGATGGCGTAGGCTGCAGTGAAGCTGTAGTTGGCTCCTGTAAGCTACCGTGAGTGGCCGGCAGCCGGCGTGAGCTGCCATGAGCCGCCCTGTGCGGCAGCCCAGTGGCCGGCGACCAATCTGCCTCACCTGGGAAGAGTGCAATGATAATAACAACATGGGCCAGGGAAGCGACGTCCTCCACAACTAGACTGGAGAACAAAAGGACAGCAACTTTTCTGTTCCCCTCCCCCAATTCCCCAATGAAATCTTTTTTTTTAAAAATCTACCTCATTGTTTTGAAACTTTGCACAATATTTCCATAGTATAATCTACTATTGTTTATTTAGCATCCTTTATTGATGGACATTTTGAATAACAACAACAAAAAAAACCCATGTGAATTAACTATGCTGCTGTTTTAATGGGAAAATGTTTCTAAAGCTCTGGGAATCTGTAAACAAAAAAAATCCAGAAAGACATGCATAAAAGCTGTCTTATGCACAGAAGCAGAAAGTATTCCCTCACAAAATCTTTCGTACACTTAAAATAATCCAATTGAAAAGTAAAGGACTAGACTCCAGTTATAAGTTATAGTCTTACTCCATGTTCTGGGCCCTTAGTTGTCCTGTACTGGCCTCAACTGCAGGCTCAGAAACAGTAGCACGGAGGTCAATTTACTATGAAGTTGACAGAACTTACAATTTAGGGCCCCTCACTCGCCTGGGGACCCTTCCAAGGCCAGAGCAATGTATTTACATAGTCATATGGTTTTGTAACCTTTGCCAAG